ACAGTAAAGAAGGATGATCTGTACAAAAGCCACACGGTGCACGTTCCCTCGGGCGAGCCGCCGAGCAGCCTGTCTCGTCCCCCAGCGAAGAGGAAACCAGGAATCGTGCGGCCCATCACGCAAGGTAAACTGCTGAAAGCTGGAGGTCCATCTGATGTTTGTGTCTCCTCTCTCTTACTGCGTGCTTCACATTGATTATGATCCTATGATCCTAGAAGCCCAAACCCGCGTCCAAACCCAAGCCGGCCGCCCGCCCTCTTCCGGGCAAAACAACACCCTCCGTCGCGCCGACCCCGGTGATCAGAGCAACACCCACAGCAGCGCCCAAACCGACCCCCGCGGCAGCCGCAGTGCGCGCTCCCCCAACAAAGCGCAGCAGTGTCGCCGCGCCGCCCCCGCCCCCACCGCCGCCGCCGCCAGCCGCCCCAGCCAAACCCGCGGTTCAGATGTACCGTGCCAAGTTTGACTTTGCCGGCGAGGAGGGCGAGATGAGTCTCTCAAAAGATGATCAGGTGGAGGTGTTGGAGCAAGACGACAATGGGTGGTGGCTCGTGAAGAAGGGTGGCGTGCAAGGATGGGCGCCGAATAACTACCTAGAGCTGGCGCCTGCGCCAGCGGCGGCCGCGCCCCCTCCGCCCGCACGGAGCCGCCCCGTGCCCGCCAAACCTGCAGCGACCACAGGAACGGCGCGCGCAACGCCTTTGACGGCCGACGCGTCCGCGAAGCCAGTGTCCGTCTTCCCAGGCATGGCGGCGGCTAATGGCTCTGCGACGCCGTGGAAGAAGACGCCGACGGCGTCAGCGTCCTCTAGCGACTCCCCCGCAAGCTCACGCCCCGGCAGCTCGTTGGCGCCGAAGCCCCCGCCGCCGGTGGCGACCAAGCCCAAGCCAACTATCGCAGCAAAGCCCGGCGCGCCGAAGATTCCGGGGAAACCACCCGTGCCGAGCTCAGCGCGGCCCACACCCAAGCCGCTCGGCGGCGGCATCGGCGGCGCGAATGGCGATCTAGCTGCAGCTGTACGCCCTCTTTCTCCCTCTCGTCCTCTTTACAACGTCTAAGGTATTTCTTGCAGCTGGCGAGGCGTGCACAGCAGATAGCAGACAAGGAGTAACGAGCAGGTGTGCGGCGGAGCGGAGCATATGCATATTTTATTTGTACAACGGACGGAACGCGTTAGTTAGAATTGCTGTTTTAAATAGGTGTATGCGGTAGTGGATGGTATCACTCTCCGATCTATGAGTGTAGGGGCATAAACGGCCAGTCTAACGCCTGGCGGGTATCATGCGGGCTCTAATATGCTGATGGGTGGCGGCTGTGGGGAGGGCGGATGCGACGGCGGGGGCGAGTCGCGCGGGAGGGTCATCGCCTCCACCTCGTCCTCGGAGTGGAATGCGTCGTCATCGCTATCGGGCACGGCGACATGCGACGGCGACGCGGGGGCCGCCATGGTCTTTGCCTCGGGTTCGTCGTCGTCGCTCAGGTACGGGACCTCGTACGCGCTGAGCACCTTGGCAACCTTGACCGGCTCGGGAAAGTCCTGTGGCGTGCTCGCGAGGGCGCGCGTGCCCGTCTCAAGCAGTCCCGCGAGAATTGTCTTGATGCGGCGGTACATGACGTCGTGCGCTTCGCGCACCTCCTCCGCCTTCTCTTCCGCCTCGGCGCCTTCGTCCGAGTCGTCGGAGTCCGCAGTGTCGTCCACCGCGAGCGACGACTTGAATTCGCGGAACGCGCGCGGGGGCAGGATGAGGCGCGACTCGCGCAGCTTGCGACGCAGCTCGCGGATCTCCTTGGCCTGGCGGTGCTTCGTCTGCTCGAGCGACGTGTTGATCGCGAGCAGCGAGCGGTTCGTGATCTCGAGATCGGCGATCTGCGCGGGAGGTGAGCACGCACATGAGGGAAAAAGCCTGTGCGACGCACCTTGCGCACGGACTTGGCCTCAGCGCGGACCTTGCGCTCGGCGGTACTTGCACGCAGGTCTTCTGCTCGCTCATCGGTATCCTCGTCCGAGTAGTCCTCGCCTGTGTCCTCAGTTGTGGGTAGCATCCCGCTGAGGTTCATGAGATTCTCGAGCCCCGAGCGCATGTTCGCGTCCGCGGAGTCGCGGCGCACGAGGGGGGCGCTGAGCTGGCTCGTGCCCGACTCGGTCGCGTACGACACGGAGGACGGGCCGGAGAGCGAGGAGCGCGAGGAGAAGGAGACGGTTGACGTCGGCGGGGAGTGCGGCGGAAGTGGGATCGTTGTGGGGTCGACGCGTGCGCCGTTAGTCCGGGGCTCGTCGCGCGGGAACGGCTGGTAGTAATGGTGCGCGCTCGACGGAGGGCTTCCGCGCGGGGCCGGATACCGCGATGCTCCATTTGCATTCGTGTAGAGCGCAGCGGACGCGGCAGATGACGAAGCGTTTGAGGATATCGAGGGCACGCGAGCGCGGTGCGTTTGGGCGCGCAACGAGGAATTGGGGGGTAGCGGCGGGGCCCCGTCGTGCTTTGGACGGCCCGAGAGCTTGGCAGTGATGCGCGGAGAGGATGCGGGACTGTCCTGCTCATCGCCAGACAGGTCTAGAAGCTCGGATATGGGGGTGCTTGAGGCGGTTGGGCGCGACGCGTATGAGTGAGACGAGTCAGTGGTAAGCGAGCGACGGCGAGTTTCTGTGGGTGCGGCGCGGGCAGTGACACCGCGAGTAACCACTGCACGAGCCCTCGGAGCCGATGGCAGCTGCTTTGGAGGCGAGCCCGAGCGCGGGGTGAGACTTGCGGTAGTTCGGCTGCTGCTGCTCACTGCACTCCTGGCCGAGGCTGTCCGGGAGAGGGCTGGGCCAGATACGACGCTGGTCGCCTTACGGGCGACGATGCTGCCTGGGGTTGCGCTGCTGTTGACCTTTGCCTTTGGGCGAAAGGTGGGGGAGGGGGGGGAGGTGTATGGCTTGTAGGGGGACGGGGAGCGCGAGGGAAAGGATTTCTGGGGGGATGAGCCTGTAACTTTGACGGTGACCTGGATATGAATGTTAGAGGAGAGAGCGTCGGGCAGCGTCGAGCTGGGTGTTAGCTTGCCTTGGGACCGGTTTGTGCCATGAAATCAAAAGTACAAGTGCAATCAGATCAATCCCTGGCGCGCCAACGTCGACACGACTATCTGCTCAATCATCCCGCGAAGCCCCCCCTCCCCGCCGCCGCCCAGCGCAGCGACGACGCTCTTTTCCACGTACTTGCCCACCATGTCCACCTCGATGTTCACCGTCGCCCCGACCCCCTTTTTGCCAAGCGTGATCTTCGACTGCGTGTGCTGGATCAGCATTACGCTGAACCGCCGCTGCCCGTCGTCGACCCCGGTCAGCGTCAGCGACGCCCCGTCAATCGTCACGTAGCCCTTCGGGATCAGGTACGCCAGCAGCGACGGCCGCTCCGCCGTCGCCTCCGCGAACTCGAACGTCAGCCGTACCGAGTCCCCGTCCGCCTGCCGCTCCACGATTTTCGCTGTCGTGTCGACGTGGGCCTGCCTAGTCAGACTTGGAGCGTGAGGAGGACCGCGCGGCACACCTGCACAAAGTGTCCCCCGAAGCGCACATGCGCGCCCATCGCCCGCTCCAGGTTCAGCTGGTCCCCCACCTTGCGCTCCCCTGCATCATCCCTGTAGTCGCACCAGATACGATTGTATTGAGATCGCGCGCGGCTCACCCAGATCCGTGCGCTGCAGCGTCTCGTTCGCGAGCCACACCTTGAACCATCCGCCATCCACCTCTGCGCGCGCGTCAAACTCGGTCACGGTGAGGCACGCGCCGTTCACCGCGATCGAGTCCCCGACATGGCAGTCCCCCAGGATCGCCGCCGACGAGCCGATGGTTAGGGTGCAGCCGGCGTCGTCCAACACGATCGAGGAAACAGTGCCTAGATGCTCGATCTGCGGTCGCGTGAATACATGTTCGGCGACGCGCAATTTGACCTACCAAACCAGTAAACATGACGCAGACTTCGAATTCACGATGGACGAGGATGCGACCAAGCAGTGTAGTCACGCTAACTTTGTCAGCTTGGCAGAATACCCTGATTGGGCCACCCATTATCTTCGCTTGGACCGCGCCGGGATAAAGGACTAGGTGAGCCAGAATTCTTTCTTTACAAGATGCCAGTCTGAACAAACAGTAGTCAGCCGGAAAGTCCGGGTTATATTATTCAAGGCCATCTGAAAAAATCCGCTGTCTCAGACCCACTAGTCTCACCCCAAGTTTCACCTCTGAACGCAATGAACACAGTCGCCATGGTTCACGTTCAATCCTGTGGGGGGGGGGGGGGGGGGGTCTCAACCTCGGCGGCAAAAGAAGTCGGAGACATCGTACGTCAATGATTATCGAATAGGTATGTAGGTATATCGTTAAGAAAGAGGGTCTCTGAATCAAAACTTGACCACTGTCTCCAACGGTAAGCATCCATTTTGCTCTGAGACGGCCTCAAACACATCCCGAGCTGGAATCCTTGCTCCTATGGTAGCATTTCTGGAGTCCCGACTCGACTACCCTGCGTTGAAATTGAAATTGAGCTTGTCTCATTGGTGTAAGCCAACACAGCGAGTGGAAATCAACTATATAGTACGCATCTAGACGTCAGGGAACGACGTAGCATTTTTCTCGTTTCCAGCAATGCGCTGCTGAGCATGGTTTACTGTAGCCCAGTGTTCGCCCCGAGGCCTCAGGCTTTGATTCAGAATAAATAAAAGTCAGATCGGAGAAGGGCTGAAGAGGCCGTTCCGAAGGGCATTTTGAAGGGCTTAAGTTTATCATTCACAAGTCTCTGCAGGTACTAGTAGATAGATAGTCTCAGTTATACGTGAATTTCTTTTCAACATATCTACCCCCTCAGCTTGCCCTCAGCTCTATTATTAATCCATTCATTATCCCTGTCCATCATGGCTCCCAATACGGTCTCCAAAGGTCGGAGGGAGACCTAATACTTCAGCTTAAACCGTTTCTGCATCTCCTAGGATGCAGAACAAATGAGGTCCAAAAAAGGTGACCCCTGCCCGGATCGAACGGACGACCTTCTGGAAACCAATCGTTAACTGGAATCAGATGCTCTACCACTGAGCCAAGGGGTCGATGCAAAGATCTCAGCCCAATCCGCCATCAAGTACTCCGAACTGGTCATGCAATCGCACTACATTGTGCCCTTGGTTCAGTCATAAATAATCGTACCTGCGCTTGCAAACCAGCTCTGTGCTCCATTTCTCGCATTCAATTTGAGGTACACTGTCGGCCCCTTGTTAACCCAGTGGTAGAGGATCCTGCGTGCACTCGACGCATACTTATCGGTGTTGTTCGGTTGGCTCATGCAACCTTGATGCAACCTCAATCATCTAGTTTTCTAACGAACAAAAGAGACATGTCCCCTCGAGGAAATGGGATGGGGTTTCGCGGCGTAATAACTTACGCTAAATCTATCACGATGTCATTGTGAGCCTCAAGAGTATGTATGTCGATTTCGAGCCGTTTTTTTCCGCCCGCCCCTGCAAGGTGAAACAGTGCCAGGATGGGTTCAGGAAGTTGCCCGAACAGAGACACTCAAAGCGCCTTTGTCGGTGATGAGTGGTCGCCGGTGATGGTCTTCAGCAAACCTGAGCGTGACCAAGTTTTGACCGATCCAAATTTACCATGAATGGAACCAACACCAACGTTACACAGAACACGTCCGGGAGACCCACGAAACCCCTTCCAAATGGCCCCGCCCCACCAGCGCCTGCTGCCGCTCCTCCTGCACCGCCAAATCACACACACGCGCCGCCCCAGCCCCGTCCGGCTCACAACCATGGTCCGGGAGTCAACGGACACCATGCAAAGGGAAAGAAGAAGCCTGAAGCCCCCGTGGATCCTGCCACCATGTATGAGAGTTTGAAGAGCAGAATTGCTGCGTTGGAAGAGGAAGAGGTGTTAGAGGAAGAGGAGGAGCGGAGATTCGGTGTGTTCTCGGCTTTATCATCCGTTGGCTTTTCGACACTCAGCTCGAGTAGCTGAGGAGGCTCAGAAATCTGTCAAGGGCATGGAGGAGAATGCGATTCATGCCAAATACATCGAACTGGTGAACCTGGGCGACCTCTCGCACGCGTTATTTCGTTTCTAAAAGCCTCTCACACACATAGTTCGCGGAATTCAAGCGACTGGAGCGAGACCATGCGAAAGAGAAGCAGAAGCTGGTGAAGGACAAGGATGCTGGTGTGTGTCAAGCATGATATTGGCCGAGCATCGACGCGTCTAACTCTATTGCAGCCAAAAGCCAGCTGACGAAGGCAAATCAGTCCAAAACCAAGGTGGAAAACCTTGCCCGGGAATTGCAGAAGGTGTGCCGCAGACACTGGATCTCTGGCCGTGACTTACGGTGGGCAGGACAATAAGCGACTCCGAGTGAGCAACGCACTTCCAGCAAGGACTTTCACGTTTTTGACATTTCGAAGGAGGATGGAAAGCGGTTGGCTCAATCGGTTGAAGATGCTCAGGACGAAGTAGGATTTTGCTCGTTCAAAAACCAGTTCGCCTCTCATCATCAAACTCGTAGCTCGTGCAAATGAGGAACGACATCACTAAACGCGCTGATAAAGCCAAGGTACAGGACGCCAAATATCGAGAGATGCCCGACATCGTAGTGAAGGTCGTCTGCCGTTATCGAGCGGAATTGTTCTTCAAGATTTCGCGCAAAACCAAGCTATCGCGGCTGTTCAACGCGTGGACTGATAGAATGGAGAAGACCGGCGGCAAAAAGGGTACCAACCCGCCTGGCGCCGACACCATGAATGGGTCGGTCAAATCTGATGCGGTTCCTCCATCCGGACCCGGCGTGGCCAGCTTGACAATGCAGTTCGTCTTTACTCACAACGGAAGGACAGTTGAAGCAGACCAAACCCCGGAGGAGGCTGGTATGGAAGACGCGGACGAGATCCTTGCCGTTGAACTCATGGATTTGACTGAGGGGCCTGGGTTGGAGGAATGGGTGAGAGTTTGTCGTAACAAGATCTGCAGAGATCTGAGGCCTCCTATAGGACGATCTGGTGGAACCTCAGCGGCAGAAGCTGCAGAAAAACTGGACGGATAATCCTCGAGAGTGCGTACAGTTCATTCTGTACCGGTATAAAACATTTAATGATATTTCCGCAGGGCCAAGAGAACGATGGCCGAGATTTTCGACGGCGTGCACGTTCCTTCCCTGCTCTATCCACAACTACCTTCTGATACTTTCCCGCAGTGTTCGAGAACGGCTGAAGGAGGTCCTTCGGCAATACGAACTGCGGGAACGCCACTTCGAATGCGTTATACGTTCGAAGGAACTTGAAGTCCTGCTATCTCGCGCGCGAGCCGCCGAGCAAAAACAGTTAGCGGAGGGAGAGAAGGCTCGTGCGGAGAAACGAGCTGACGAGGTGCGCTGTCCGTCGTCACCATCACATGTTCTATTGATCCCTAGAACAGATCCAACAGCTCAGGAAGGATCTTGAGGATGCGCAAAATGGGCAGACGATGCTCATTGACAAACTAATACAGTGCTGCAAAGAGGTGGGCCGAAGTTCCTTCAATATTCCATGCTGCTGACAGTTTTGTAATACAGCCCAACGCCGAAAGAACACAGCGGTTGTTCGCTTCGCTCCGGGAAGAGCTGGAGAGGAAAGGGCCCAGAGTCAGCAAGACTCCTGCGGATGGTGTAGTAGGAGGTTGACGTAGGTCACAATCGAACTTCTAAATCTCAAATTTTGCGAAAGCGAGTGATTCTACCAGGTATGCGAAAGTACAGATGTCGTCCATGTAATTATTTTCAGGTCCATTCAAAGTAGAGCGGGCGTCCATCCATCAAACCAAGGCGTCTAACTCCACCAGCTCTCCCACTACTCCCGACTTCGTGAACGTCTTACCCTTGACACTCTCGAGACCTTCCCCGGCGTAACTCACGAGCGGCGAGATCTCTATCTCGACGCCATCCTTGACGGTCGCTCCCGCCTTCTCGAGGAAACGTTTGTGCTGCGCCAAGAGGTCCCTACGACTAGTCCCAGGATCGTCGGAACCCGTGCCGGGCGCATTTTTCAACGGGCTAAACTCCTCATTCCGCATAACCTCCAACACCGAGAAGCGCTCCGTGTACGGGAACACATCGAAGACAAACATCTCGAGCTTCATGCCATTCGGTTTCGTGGGTTTGACTGTCTCGCCGCTTTCCAGGTCCACGTGAGCGATCTTTTTCCGTGCAATGTGGAAGGCAAGTTCCTCCTCAAACGCCTCGACTTTGTTGAGGTATGTCGTTGTGTAGAAATGATTTGCGATGTTCCCAGCGCGGAAGGTCAGCTCGCCGGTCTCAGGGTCCTGTCGCTCTGCCTGTTCCTTCGAGATCTCGGAGTACTCCACAACGCTGAATTTGTCGCCGCGGCAAGCGACGACGCCGACTGATTCTGTGGGAGAGGATTTGGGAACGACTTTGGCGGAGCAGTCGGCCTGCTTCTTGATGCTGTAACCAAGGAATACGGGGTCGGCAACACGGACGAGGCAGTTGTCCACGCAGTATGCGTGTATATAGAGGATTTTGCGCTTCGCAAGGTCTGTCAAGACCGTGTGTGACTTGTCGGCCGGGGAAAGCGGAGAGCGGGTAGCTGCGTAGAGACCACCGTTGCCATCGGGGGCGACTGCGACGCGAGAGGGCGCTTCTAGCAGTACCTTGCCTTCCATGGTAAGACACGGTAGAGTACCTAAAGTAGAAAGCGCGATTTAGAAAAGGCGCGATAATAGCTTAACGTATCCCACCTTGCTCAAATAGAACAACATTCTTGGAATCAAGCCCGAAGTACGAGTTCTTCGCGAAGAAGTCTGCGGTTTCGCGGCGAGTGGGTCCGCTGGTCATGACATACCAGGGAATGATGACGGAGCCGGCAGGCTTATTGAACTCCTCCTCTGCGACCGTCTGCAGGCGGGCAATGCGCTCCGCCTGGTACTGGAACAGGGACTTGTGGGACGGCAGCCCGATGTCGTAGCAGCCCTTGGGCGCGCTGCTGCCCAGCCGTGTGCCCTGCCCGCCCGCCATGAGGAGCACGCCCACGGTGCCGTTCGCGATGGCCTCCAGCCCAATCGCGCGCCATTCCTTCTCCTTCCCGCTCTTCACCGAGTCTGAGGCGGCTTTGGGGAGCGGCTGGATGGGGTCGTGCGCGCCGGGCGCAGCGGCGTCGGCCTCGCCTGCGACGGCTTTCTTGTATATGCGGTTGACGCGTTCTATATCGAGTGCATCGAGCTGGGCGGCGAGGGATTTCTGCTCGGACGGAGGGAGCGTGTCCCAGAATTTCAGGAGGTGCGCCTGGCCGGCGGCCTCGTAGCGCGGACGGAGACGGTCGAGGGACATGATGTGGTGGTAGGATACAAGCTGGTGATACAATTTACATAAATCCACACCGGGCTGCTGCGACGCCCGTGTGCACTGCCTACACACTGCCCACATCAGCCCATGAACGAGGAGGGAGCGTGTCCCAGAGTTTCAGGACGTGGGCCTGGCCTGGCCAGCGGCCTCGAAGCGCGGACGGAGACGGTCGAGAGACATGATGTGGTGGTAGGATACAAGCTGCGTTAGCTTTACACAATGGTACAATATACATACATAATTCCAGATACAACCACACGGGCTGCTGCGACGCCCGTGTGTACAACCGCCCGGGCCCACTGCCCCGCATCAGCCCAAGAACGAGTCTGAAACCTCACGGCGACTCAGAACTCGTAGACCCAACGCTGATTCTGCGTCGCCGGCGTTTTTGTCTCAAGCTTACCAAAAGGACACCCGCATTATCCGGTGCGCGTTCTACATCACGCGGCATACTAGTAGAAGCAGGGGATCAGGCATCTGCAGACACCCCGCCCCGCACTTACCGCTCGATGTAAGCCGTAACAGCTGGTCCCAGTTTCGACGTGCCGCTGGCGGCATGCAACCCTTTGCCTAGGCACGATCAGCGGGCAGTCCACGAACACCATGAACGAATGCACTGACCAACGATGACCCGGACAACCGCATCTCCCCGCCGTTCGCCCGCTAAGATAGCCTTCTCGACCTTTAGCTCGGCCTCTTTCACGTACAGCCCATGCAGATCGA